TGCATAGACATATGGCTTTGCATACCTCTGGTCAGATGTGTCTGTGAGCTTTTAGGTTCTATGTGACCAGCTATGACCCTGACTGAATGGCCATCGAATTTCCCAGGCTTTCTGCTTCCCGGAAACACAACCTGGAGGCCCAGTGCCTTGGACAGGTCAGTGCTTTGGGGATTTCTCTGGAGTCCACATGCTGAGTCCTTGGGTAGATAAGTTCTCCCTTTGATCAGGTCTGCCGGCGGCCTTCTTGACTGCTTTGCCAGTCTGTCTGCTCTGCAGAGACACAGAGGATGCCTGTCTCACATTGCTGCTCATCCTTGCCCCTCCCTGTTGCTTTCTTCCCCACTGTCTCCTGCTTTAATTGTCTAAGCCTGTGTCTTAGGAAACTCAGTTAGCAAAGATCTGGAAGCAGTCAGTATATCATCTTGAGAGTGCCCTTATTTTTGCCCAAAACTTTAAAAACTTTTTTTTTAAATCATTCAATTTACTTTGTAACTAACACATAAAAATGTTAATAAATTATACCCAGTGATGGGATTCCATGTAATATTTTGAAACATGTAACATTGGGTAATGTTTAAATCCATTTAAATTTTATTTGTATCCTCAAGCGATTGTGATTTCTTAATGGTGGAAGTACTCAAAATTCTTTCCTCTAGCTCTTTGAAGTGCCCAGTATACATTTTTTTTAAAAGATTTCTTTATTTTGTTTATAGTGTTCTGTCTGCATGTGTACCTGCAGGCCAGAAGAGGGCACCAGATCTCATTACAGATGGTTGTGAGCCACCATGTGGTTGCTGGGAATTGAACTCAGGTCCTCTGGAAGAACAATCAGTGCTGTTAACCTCTGAGCCATCTCTCCAGCCCCCACAGTACACAGTTGTCACCAGTAGTGGCCATACACTGTAAGAGCATGCCAGAACCTCTGACTTTTCACTGTAACTTAGTACCCATTGATTATTCCAAACCCACACCTACCTGGTCCCACTCCCACCAGGTCTCATTCCAGCTCCTGGTGAGCACTGTTTTACACTCAGCTTTATTTTTATTTGTCTATTTTTTGCTCGTGTGTATGTGTGATGTGTGTGTGTGCATGCATGTGTGTGTGTGTGTGAATGTGTGTGAGCACATGTGTGTATAGTGTGGAGGCCTGAGGTGGATGCCAGCAAACATCTTTGGTCACCCTTACTCAATCAAACCCAGAACTTGCCTATATGAGTATCTATCTTGCTTGCCAGCTTGCTCTGGGATCCACTTTCTGCACCTTGCAAAGCTGGAATTCCAGGCAGGCCACTGTTCTACTCTGAATCTAGTGGGTTATGGGCACCCAAACCCCTGTCCTCTTGCTTGAGTGATAAGTACTTTAACTACTGAAGCATCTACAGCCCTACTTTTAAAAATATTTTTTTATTATTAGTCAACTTTTTGATGCATTAAACTTTGCAAAATGTATTTACGGTAATGTGGTGTTTCAATGCATATACACTGAGTAACGTGAAGTCAGGTTAGACATGTCTGCTCAGGGATTTTTAAAAAATTTTTTAATGAAAAATTAGAAATCCTTCTTCAAGCTTTTTGAAATGTAGGGAGCATAATCATTACCTGTGTAATGGCTTGAATGAGAACAACCCCCATAGACTCCTACCTTTGAATACTTGGCTCTCAGTGGATGGAACTATTTGAGAAGAATTAGGAGGTGTGGCCTTGCTGAAAGAGGCATGTCACGGGGACTGAGCTTTGAGGTTGGAAAGAAACTCTCACCATTCCCAGTCTCTCTTTCTGTGAGACGTGAAATCTCAGTTGCCTACTATCATGGACTCTGTCTGTCTGAAACTGTAAGCCCCAAATTAAATACTTTCGTTTTTATAAGTTGTATTAGTCATGGTGTCTCATCACATAAATAGAAAAGTGACTCAGACCATCACCTTCCATGTAGTACACACCAGAACTTCTTTTCCCTAACTACAACTGATCAAATGATCTTTATCACCCCCCACCCCATTAACCTCCAGGCTTTCTAACCTCCAGTAGAATGACAACTTTTATTCTACTCCCAACTTCTAAGAAGTCATTTTTTTCTTTTTTACAACTGAGTGTTGCTCAGTGTGAATACTTGGGTTATTCCCTATGGATGATATAACAATTTACCATCAACACAGTGGCTTAAAAAAAAGATTTAGTCAGGCATGGTAGCCTATGTCATTGATCCCAGTAACTGAGTTGGAGAAACAGGCTGATCTCTGTGAGTTTGAGGCTAGCCTGGTCTCATTACTTCCAGGCTAGGCAGAAATATACAATGAGACTGGGTCTCAGTAAAACAACCTACACCTCAAATTTATTAACATCCAGCTCTGGTGGTCAGAAGTCTAAAATGTGTTACTTTTACTGACATCCAAATGTCAGCAGGACTGTGAACTTCTGTAAGCTTGAGAGAAGAGTGAACCCCTAACTATACAGCAGAGGGAAGAGTGAACCACCTAACTATACAGCAGCCATGGGCATCTGCCCTCTGTAGCCTTGCCCCTCCCTCCAGCTTCCAGGCAAGCCACACAGCATTTTCAAGACTCTACCCGACAGTTGTTTCCTTTCTCCCATGGCCCAGATGACCCAGGACCACCTCTTCTCTCAACTTCTGTTTTAACGTATTTTCTAGGACTGTTTGTGTTTTTCAAAAGCAAACCACGGTGGCTCATGCCTGAATCCTTGCACTGGAGAAACTGAGGCAGGGCCATTGCTGTAAGATCCAAGGCTGGTTTGGCTGAAAGAATAAGATCCTGACTCAAAAAACTGAACCAAACAAGCAAACAAACCAAGATGAGTGGGCTGATTGGTGCTCTAGGAGCACGCCATTGATGATTTTCTGCTCAGTGTAGACTGGATGTAGGTTTTAGAGTGATGTTAACTCTGTTAATTATTCAGGACCTTACAGACTCCACTAGCGAAGCTGCCTGGGAACATGGTGCGATCATGGACCCTTCTGCTCTGCCGAGGGGGGCTGAGGAGCCTCCACACAGACACTGCCTTTGGTTTGTTAGGGTCTATTGTAAAGAATCTCCCATCAGGAATTCTGTTTGATTCTGGCAGGCATGTGTCTTTACGGTCTGTACCTTGTTTTGATGTGGCTCAGTCCGCAACATTTTGAGGCGGCCCAGTCTGTACCCTGTTTTCGCCCCTCTGTCTGTTGTATTGTGAGGACACTGCACATTTCCAGCAAGTCTGAGCTCCTGGAAGCCACAACAAAGCATTAGGCTCTTTTTAATCGGCTTCACTATTGAATACAATTTGCTCCAAGGGAATTTCCTTATTTTGGCTTATAATATGTTGATGAATTATTGAAATTTCAATTACTTTTGACTCCCAAGATAGCAGAGTAGATATAGCCCAGACATTCAATATGAAAGCTTTCTATGAGAAGCTCTTAGAGAGGGGGGCTGGGTCCCTACTCTCTGCCCTTGCCTGAAGGGCTGTGGCCAGCAACAAGCACGGGGGTTTGGCTCTGCTCTGTCTGTCTGTGAGACTATAATACTTTGTAGCCTTGGGTCAGCCACTCAAGGTATGCTTCCCTGACATTCAGCATTCACATCTGTGGGGAGCTCATTGGACATACAGATTCCTGGCTTCATGCAGCCCTGATAAATCTGAACTACTGGGATGGGGCTCTGCCACCTAGGTTTCTGACTAGCCCTGTAAGGGGGATCTGGTGTACCATAAAGGATGGAAAACCCTATTCTAAGTGTCCAAGAGTGTGACTTCTTGGTGACTGAGTTTGATGCTTCATTCGTAAGAACTTTCGGGTGCTGCAGTCACCCCAAAGTGTAATAAACCAGGCTTGGTAGTGCTCCTTTGTAATTCTAGCACTCAAGAGGAAAAGACAGGCAGATCAGAAGTTCAAGGTCCTCTTGGCTGCATAAGCAAGTTTGATAATAGTCCTTGAACTCTGATGATAAAGGTGTGCCCATGGTTATGAGAAAGGTAGCAAGTGTCCCGTTTACTGGGGTATTTCTCCCCTTAGTGGTCACAGAGCAGTAACCACAGATGAGTGAGATTTAGATATCCATTGTGGTATTAGTGTGCCATATTTTACTTATTTTTTATTTTATGTGCATGGCTGCTTTGCATGTGTGGCTGTACATCACATGCGTGATTGGTGCCTATGTAAGATAGAACAGGGTATCTGGTCCCCTGGGACTGTACTTATAGTTACGAGCCTTCAAGTGGGTGCTTCAAATTGAACCCTGGTCTTCTGGAAGAGCAGTCAGTGCTCCTACCCACTGAGATTTTATGCTTCTGCTACTTAGATGTTCCTTCCCACTGTACCAGGGATGCTCCTAGCCTTGGCTATCTGGTGGGAAGCTGCTGGTAGCTTCACTGCCACTCTATCCTTGCCTCACCATTCTCCCAAAGCCCCTGTCTCTAATAACTGTTTGTCTAATACTGCATATCTTCCAGACATGGTGCATGTAGTTCTATTTTCCAACCCCACACTACCCCAGACATGCCTCTGCTAAGCCCACCCCTGACATGCTTTCCTGGGGGGTCCAGTGGAGCCCAGCTCTCCTATCACATACATACCCCTCTATACTCTCTGGAGTAACTTCAGGTGGAAGCATCATCTTTCCAAGTTCCACTGTTTCAGAGCACTTGAGGATAATGTTTCCAGCGTTTGTGAGTATGTATTAAGACTCTTGTTCTCTATCCATATGTGGGCTCTGAGTTTCCTATGACTGGAGATCACGGTCCACATTTGCACCGCCCACCGCAGCATCAGGAGCTTCTCTGCTATCTGAGCAAATGCTCCTTAATGGTGCGCTTCCTCCTGGACTGGAGCATCCTTTGCTTGGTTCACATATTCTCCTTCCTGCGTGTGAGTAACAGATGATTGGCCAGCTCCCCTTAGTGATACAGTGGCTTCAGTGGACTTGACCAGCTGAGCATCACAGTTGGAAACTTTGCCCTTTAACCTGGGAAACCACCAACTTGGTCTAAAGGGGTTCTGGTTTCAGGTCCGAGAGCTCCAAACTCGACTGCAGAGTGTCCAGGCCACTGGACCTTCTAGCCCTGGTCGCCTCACTTCTGCCAATCGGCCGATCAACCCCAGCACCGGAGAGCTAAGCACCAGCAGTAGCAGCAATGACATCCCCATCGCCAAGGTGAGCTCCTGGGGATGCGGCTGGTGGGTGGAAGACTTCTTATCTGGAAACCCCAGATGTGGCTGAGCCCAGCTGTGGCTGAGCCCACCATTTTGCAGGCAGACCAGTCACTGTACATACCCTAGGGGCTTCCCCTGGGACTGAGTGTCAACTCTCCCAAGCCAAGCTGCAGGGCGAGATAACCCACTAATAGGTTTAAGTCACTCTCAGCAGCAACCTGTATAGCAACTCTCATTAATCAGCCTGCCGGGAAATGTCACAGCTGACAAGCCTTTGTGGAGAGTTTTGTCAAGTGCGACCCAGCAGTGGGTGGGTACTTGCTTTCAAGGAGCTAAGGTTCAGCCCTTAGGGGACCCTGAGCGATCAAGCAGTAATTTCCACCCTCAGAAGACTGATTGCCAGGCCAGAAAAAGAAATACATTACAGAGCTAAGTGTGGAATTGCATGCCTATAATTCCAGCCAGGAGGCAGAGGCAGGAGGATCACTGAGTTCTAGGCCGTCCAGAGTTACATAGTGAGACACTATCACAAGAAAAGAAATGAAATGAAATACTTAAAAAAAAAAACCACTTGTTCTCTGTCACAGCATACAATGCTTTTGTACAGTCTTTTAAAAAGAACCCGTCACATGGTATAAATGGTAGATGTCTTCCTGCCTGGCAGCCCTGATAGTCTCCACAGTGAAGTGGTTTCTCATCCTTTGATTTAGTAAGTTAGGTCAAGCACACTAAGGAACACTTTGAATGTTTACAACTTAAATGCTCCTGGCATCTTGTGGCTGGAGTCTAGAGATGCTGCACAACAGCCTACAGTGGGTAGAACGGTCTCCCGGCGCCCAGGTTGTCCAGCCCCAAATGTGCTGAGGTTGAGAAGAAGCCCCATTTTAAGTTTATGGCTGCAAGGTTGAACCAATGAATTGTTTTGAAGTATTTTGCTGAATTACTGTAGTTGATATGGTAACAGTTGTGTAAGCATGGACCGAACTTATGTGGGGCAGTGATGTGGACTTTCCAATATTTTTATTTTCTTTTAAGATTGCTGAGAGAGTAAAGCTATCAAAGACAAGATCTGAATCGTCATCTGATCGGCCAGTCCTGGGGTCAGAAATCAGTAGCATTGGGGTGAGTGTCGGCAAGGGGTAAGGATAGAAAGAACCCAGTACAGCCACGTAGACCACGGCTCCTCGAGGATAGAAATACTGTTTTTCACTTCCAGTTTATCAGTTAATTATATAATAAATCGGGGCAAAGTGAAATGCGGTAAGTCTCTCAATGGTGAGTTGCTACTTCAGTTTTAAGGGAGATAATCTCTTCCTATCCCTGCCCGCCAACTCCCACACATGTGAAATCTTCCAAGAAAGAGATAACATACATTTAGTTCCTGATGATGCCAGTGAATGTCTTGGAGTATCTGCTTCATATCACCTTGCTCCACAGAGACTCAGGGAGTTGCAAGACTCCCAAAGAACTTTGTCTCTGCGCATACATCTGGAAGGGAACACACTGTCCATAGAGGGCGGATGCTGTCTTTGAAGTGTGGCCCAAAGTTAGCAGAGAATGGACAGGACCTGCCTGCCCACTATGCGCGTCTTCATGGGTAGAGCCTGTAACCTCCAGGGAGTAAGACTGATGGCCGGGGTGCTGACAAGGGAAGAGTTCCAGTTCTTTAAGGAATATGGTGAAGCTGGGAGAACTGGCTGTTTGATCTTAGGCCAAGAGGAGAGAACAGAAAACAAAACAAAACAAAACAAAAACCCAAACACTCACTTTCATTTCCTAATTTGAAGTTTTACATGGAGCAAATATCGCGTGCATTCAGATTCTATGTCAAAACCAAACTGTGAGGATAAAGGGAAGAGCCTCTCTTTCGGCCCATAGTCACCAGAGACTATGGTGTGTCAGGAGTCTAGGGTAAGAGAAGGAAGCCCAGGCTGTATCTAACTTGCAGGATTTTCAAGACTCTAAGAGAACTCATCTCCCCTTGCTTGTTGATCCCCAGCGTCACTTACTTAGGAGGTGCAGCTCTGAGCCTATTGTGTTTCCTATAATAAGTTCACACTTGTCTTTTAATACTCAAATTCCACCAGCTGAGACCCACAAGACTCAGAGGAGTAACCATCTCCTGGTGCCAAATTCTTAAAGATCCTTGCCTTTATGTTGTTGTATGTGTAAGTTGTGCCTGAGGACCAGTGTTTCTGACCTGGCATCTCTGCAGGCAACTATGTTCATCTTGCACAGGTTTCCAGCAGCGTGGCAGAACACCTGGCCCACTCTCTTCAGGACTGCTCCAACATCCAGGAAATTTTCCAAACACTCTACTCACACGGATCTGCCATCTCTGAAAGCAAGATTCGAGAGTTTGAGGTGGAAACAGAACGGCTGAATAGGTGAGCACAATCTGATATATTTCATTGGGGGTGGGGTGGCAGTCAGGGTCAACTTCATAACATTGGGACACATGTTCACACGGGGCCTCGCTTAGGAAGGTTCCACAGATACATAATGCCTGGCTCTGCTGTTACTATTCTTAATCTTTAATAATTTAGGAACAAGGGGCGCCACCTTCTCGTTTCACTCTGAACACAAGTTCTTAGTGAGCCCTGTGAGCAATCCATAGAGAATGTCCAGTAGGTCATAGATGGCTGCCAAGTATACAGGCCTGTGCTGCAGGGAGTCTCAGTGGGAAGTCCTGGAATGTTGAGTCAGGGTCTGGGGCTGCTTATGTTTGCCAGAAGGAGCAAAGGCAGTGTGCTGGAACCATTTTTGGCATTGGCTCCACATGTTGGTCTAATTCTTTGCTTTCTCTGAGCAATTCTCTGCTGATTTTCTTTATGCTCAAACATAAATAGGATGTCCCTACATCCTATCCTAACTGGATTTGGAGTTTACCATTTAATAGCTTCATAGATTCTTCCCGATTCTCTTGCTATAGACAGCTGTAGTATTCACCCCTGCCTCTTGGCAAAGACAAGCTTGAGTGTAATCTCAGAAATGAGGCAGCTACTTCAAAGGCTAAGAAGTACCATAGCCAAACCCGCGAACCTCCCTGACTCAGACTCTATGCCATGAGAGCAGAATGGCCTGTCTCCAGGAATGATGTGGCTGCCTTGACTTAACAATCTTTAGTGAGCACAGGAAGAGCTTGGAAGGCTCATGAGCTAATCAAGAAGGAATGTGGACATTAATTCCCATCTACCATTGCCGAATTCCCTTCCTCTTGTGTGTGGCAAAATGGAATAACTCAAACTAGCTTGTCACTCCTCCCTGATATGAAACTGTTTTAGTTCTGGAGAACAAAGGAAATGTGGTGATCTAGGTCATTTGAAAGATTATTTTCTTGAATTAATGTACACGTGTCTATGTCTGTGTGCATATGAACTTGTGAGTACAAGGGACCTGTGGAGGTCAGAGGTATCAGATCTTCCTGGGGAGCTAGAGTTACAGGTGCTAGGAGTCAAACTTGGATCCTCTGTTAGATCAGTATGTGCTTTTAACTGCTGAACCATCTCTCTAGCCCCATCAATTTTATATCTTGAAATTAAAAGATTTCTACATTAAATCCAAAGTCCTTTACAATGCCAATCCTGATGATCATCTAGAAACAAGGCAGAAGCACTTTTCTCTACTGGCCTGGAAGTGCTTAGGCCTGAATGAGATATGTCCTTTGTGATTGAATGAAGTCATATGCCTTCGGGGCCGATGCCCACAAGCCTTCAGGGGGCCCTGTGCCCACAACAGCCTTCACAAGCCTTCAGCCTTGGCTGAAGATCTCTTCTCTGGGATTTCAAAGGTCTGCTTTGTTCCTGAACTTGGGGGAGGCACCTTTCTTCTCAGTAATACACTCCCAGGAGAGAACAAAGAATTGGTACTATTTAGTCCTTGAAGCTCAGGTTATGCGTTCAGCAGCACAATGGGTGCTCACAGAAAACCTCTTAATGTTCAACTTGTGAGGATAAAGCTAGTCTCTTGCAAATGAAGAAAATGAAGGCTTTGAAGTTGAAAGTGAAGCGATGAAACCCAGAGCAGTTATTTAACAAAGGCAGCATTCCAGACCCTGCCCTTTGCCCTCGCCCGTTGTCCTGGCACCTGGAGCTTCCTAGAAATACTGTCCTAATGACTGGTATTTGATTGTCTCAACATTAAAGTCCTAATACTATTTTTTTTAAAATATAGCCTTTGATTCAGATTTCCTTGGAGTAGGGGAACATACTTACTCAAACCTGTGCTTACACATGTTACACATCCGTGTTAAGCACCTCCTGTGTACTAGGGTGTGTGACATGAAAAGCAAATCAAAACAGAGAAGGCCCCTAACCTCATGAGGCTTATATTCTGTTAGGAAATATAGATGCAACACAGCAGAAGAACCCCCCCCCCAAAAAAAAAAAGATGTCTCTGGGACCCCGAAAGAATCAACAGTTATTTCTCTGTTACTCTTGTCACTTTGGGTGCTGGAGGTTAAAGTCAGAATCTTGTACAAGTTTTCCAACCATTTTACCACTGAGCTATGCCCCTTACATGTGCACTGGTAAGGTGTCTTTAAAGATGTCTTGAGGTTTTAAGGACAAAAGAGCAACCATGCCAGGCTGGAAGAGTCATAACCTCTGGGCTGGACAAAGGAGATGTAAAGGAGGAACCCTACAAAGAGTGGGATTAATACAGACCAGGTGTGTGCAGGAAACAAGGGGGCACCAGACAGCGCCTGACATGGAGGCAGATTCGGATTCTATAGCAGATTTTACTCTTTAGCCTAAATATAGTTGGAAAGCGTTCTTTTTAACAGGAAGATCACAATGTGTTCTGCCTTCTGGAGCCTAGAGGTAAAGGATAGCAAGAGTAGGAACCGAGAGAGATGGCTAGGACGGGCCAGGAGGCACAGAACATAATGCGTTCAGAATATGAGAAGCCTCAGCCATCTTCTTCTGGCTAGAAGAAAGAGTCTCAGGAATGCTCCCGTGCTAGCTCGTGATAGTAGATGAATAGCAGTGGTGACTTCCAATATGGGGAAGGTGATGGAGAGAAGATTGAAGAAAAATAAGCAACCCCTTCAGTGTTAAACTGCAGGCAGTGTGTGCCCCCCCCAAAAAAATGGGAATGCCAGGAGGCAGCTGATGTGTGGGACTGGTACTCAGAGGGAGGTGCGTGCTAGAAAAAATGGGACGCCATGGAAACAGAAATGCCTCCAGGAGTCACGGGTTGGCTAGAACCACCCCTAAGGGGAGCATTGGCAGAAGATGGGATCCCCAAGCCTCAGCCCCAAGGAAATACCAACCTCACAGCCTTTACTTTCAGAATCCCAGCAGGGTGTCCTGACCTGAGCAAGGAAGGCATTTCAGGCAGGGACAGTTTCCTCTCAGTCACAAGGAGGTCAGCATTGGAGTAAATGTCTTCTAATTAGCAGGGACCACGACACTTTCTAAATTGTAAATGAGAGAGTGGGGACCACTGAAAGAAGCCAAAGGAAGAAAACTAGAAGGGCTTGTGTTTCTGATACCTCCCCCACTATGGCACATAGAGTCTTCATTGCTCTCCCAGCAGAGATGTCCCCTATAGGCAACTCCATGCTGCCCTAAAATTTATGCTCAAGGCCAGTGGCTTCCACAACCCATCACACTCCTGCACTTTCGGAGGTAAACCCCAAGTCTCTTGAAGACTTGCTACTATGGAAGAGTGGGTTTTGTGGAAAATGAGTGACCTTACCCAGATGTCTTAGGACAGGAAATGGAGTCGCTGCAAGATTTACATTTGTTTTTCTGACTTTTTCTCAAACTCATTGCTTGATGTACACAGTTCTGACATAAACCTTAAAGTTCTTCCTGCTGATTGTACCCATCACTGGCATTGCTAGACATCACTCTAGAAGGCCCTTTGGTTGTGGTCATGGGCCCCAATAGACACTCTTTTCTTTCCCACCAGGCAGTTCCCAAATAATGCGTACAGACACAGGGCGAGGTGAAATGAGACTGTGTACCAGTCTAATTTGTCGTTGTTGTCGTCTTTTGATTTTTGAGTCAGAGTCTCTCTACATAGCCATGCTGTCCTGAAACTCATTACATAGAGCAGTTGGCCTTGAGCCCATAGAGATTCACCTACCTCTTGGGTGCATGGATTAAAGATGGGCACCACCACCCTCAACCCTTAATTTTATTTTTGATCCACACTGAATTTAATGATGGTGAAAGACCCCCTGATTCGGGTGTCTTCCCCTCAGGGACCCTGACGCCCAAGAACCAAGACTAGTCTGCACTGGATGCAAAAGCAAGAGGTATTTTTTTATTGTTTACACGAGCGCCCGTGGACGCTGCAGCTTTAGGGTGGCTGAGCGTGCCGGGCTAAATTCGGGGCTGATTATATAGCAAGAAGCGGGCTTAGAGAAGCGGATGTATTCTCAGTGGTTATTTCAGATAAGGCGATGAGGTCAGGTCAGGGACAGGGTTGTCTATTCATCTTGAATACATGGGAATCAGTTAAGGCTCATTTCAGCACACTCTGGGCTTCCTGCTCCCTTTTGTCTTCCTGTCGGCCGAAGGCTGACCTCCAGGTATCTGACCACAGATATCTGACCTCAGAGTGATTATGCTGGCCTGGGAACAGTTTGACCTGGTTTGGACTATAGTCGCAACGGAAATTCCTCAAAGCAGGCAGGGGTAGCTGCAAGGGCAGATGGACGGCGAGGGCAGACAGGCGGGGGATCTTCTCAATGGTTTTGTTTTGCCATGTCACCTTTGCGTGTGTGTACTGTGTGTGGTGTGTATACAAGTTCATGCACATGTGTGTCTGTGGAGGAAAAGATAAACACCCAAGCATCTTTCTCAATCGCTCTTCCACCTTCTCTTCATGAGGCAGCGTCTCTTACGTGAACCTGGAGCGAGCTTGCCAGTTCGGTTAGGCTGTCTGGTGAGCAAACTCCATAGATCCCCGTCTTCACCTCCCCAGGGCTGGGGTTACAGACGACGCCACTTTGCCTGGCTTTTTAGTGGGTGCTGGGGAGTGAACTCAGCCCTTCATGCTTTCGCCACAAGCGTTTCACTTGACTGGGCTGTGTCTCCAGCCTCCCACATCACCCATGTGTTTTATATCCATATATATGCCTCTGTGTTTGTCTGTGTTATGTGTATGCATTTGTGTGTGCACTCACCTGTGCATGTGTGTAGAAGCCAGACGGTGTTCGGTGTCTTCCTTTATTCTTCTTCACCCGAGTTTTTGAGATGGGGACCTCTCAGCAAACCCCGAGTTCACCAATTGACTAGGCTGGCTGGCCAGCAATCTCTGGGAAGCTGCTTGACTTTGCTCCCCCCCATCCCGCCATCACTAGACTTATTGACACACACCGCCATGCCTGTGCAGGGTCTACACAGGCCCTCATGCTCGCATGGCAAGCACTGTATCTGCTGACCCTCCCCCTGCCATGTCTTCTTCACATGACTGTCTGGCCTCCTTGCCAGTGAAACGAGGAACATGTCCGATCACAGGCCTGCTGCGTGAAACCAATGTCTTTTTCTTTGTAGCCGCATTGAGCACCTCAAATCCCAAAATGATCTCCTCACCATAACCCTGGAGGAATGCAAAAGCAATGCCGAGAGGATGAGCATGTTGGTGGGAAAATATGAATCCAACGCCACAGCGCTGAGGCTGGCCTTGCAGTACAGGTAGGAAAGCCAGCGCGCGGAAGGAAGACATCCTGGGTGGTCTTTGGTTTAGTTTTTTAAACATATATTTGCTTATTAATTTATTTCTTGATTTACTGTGTGCATGCATGCGCGAGTAACATACATGCCACGGTGCATGGATAAAAGTCAGAAGAGGGCATGCGAATCTGTTCTCTCTTTCCACCATGTGGGTTCCGGGTTTCGAACCCGGGTCATCAGGCTTGGCTAAAGTGCTTTCATCTGCCGAGCCATCTTACTTTTCTGCAGCTACTTGGTCGTATACACATCTGTAGCAAACCTGAGCATAAAAGTATAAGTCATATTTTTTTAAAGTCATAAATAGAGGCTTGGACTTGCAAATATTAGTGTGGTTTATATTGAAAAGCAATTCGTGCCTCTCGACAACGAGGAGAACCGGATAATAAATATGTTAGTAGTGTTTGGTATGTCGCTACTAGCCATTGGACTAAAGATGAACTCATTTGAGTAATAGCACTCAAAATACCAGTGTTTGGGGGTCAGGGAGTTGGCTTTAGTGAGTAAAGGCACTTGCTACAAACCTACCTACCTGAGTTCCGGCCTTGGAACCCACATGGTAGAAGGTAAGAATCCGGGGGCATGGTGGCTGCCCTGGAGTGAGGCTGATATACCGACCCAGTGACACTCCTTTAGAGAAACTGATTTTCCCTTTACAGGGGGTATCAGTTGCTGATAGCTTTCTTGGTTAGGGGTGTGAAGCCCATGTCCACTTCTGCTTTCAGTGCTGAGAGTCTGCCTGGCTTTAACCTGTGAAGGTCTCACACATGCCTGGCCTAGTTTTTAAATACTCCTAATAGTCTACATTGGTTGTGGATGGCTGAATCCCCTGCAGATTGTATGCCTTTAACTTTGCTCATTTTTCTAAAAGACCTTTGAAGACATCAGGCATTAAGATAATTCAACAGTAAATAGCCTAATACAGGTAAGATCTTTAGTCTTTTGAATAATTTCCTTGGGATAAAGCTCCTGAAGCAGGAATTATAGTTCCCAGAAGACACGAGTATCCTCATAGCTCTTCAGGCATGCCACCCATTGGTTTCCTTTAAAAATAAGCCAGTTTGTTAAAGGCTTAGCAGGCACACACTTTTTATCTCAGCACTTAGTGGCAGAGGCAAGTCTCCATAGCAAATTCTAGGATAGCCAGAGCTACATAGTGAGACTCTGTCTCGAAGAAGAAGAAGAAAAGAAAGGAAGAAAAGTGAGTTTAAAAGCTTACAGTTAATTATTTATGAATAATAACACTTTTTCCTTTCTCGCTGGTTTTGATATTATTTGTTTGTTTGCTTGTTTTTTAGTTTATTGAAAATTACACATATTTATCTACTTGGTTGATAGGTTTTGCACCTTGGCACACGTGGGGAGGTCAGAGGACAGGGTGATGGGTTTTGCACCGTTACACACGTGGGGAGGTCAGAGGACAG